GATCGGCTCTGGGAGTCGTCATTCGCGCTCCGCTACGCGGCGAGGAGCCAGGGAAGAACGGAACCTTCTTTCCTCATCGACATCCTTTCCTCACTCGGGTCACTCTTTAGGCTGACACCGGCGAATTTGGCCGACATCATCCATCATCCAATAAAAACTGAACGACATCTACCGCATCGCGTTTTTCGACCGTTTATTTTGCTCTCTCATCGCTAATTGCCACATATATCGCTCGCAACCACCTGTAATGTCATTCACCTTCAATAGTTTTAAAGTGCACTGCGCTGCAGCCAATAGGTCTGCGACAGAATCAGGCGGCGATTCATAGGGGCTCAGGGGGCTCGAGCCCCCTCAAAAANAGGCCGTATTCCGAACCAAAAGCCCCCCCCCCCCCGCATTTTAGAGTCAAAATGGAACAAACTTGAAAAATAAAGAGGGAAGACGACGAGCAAGGCCAAAGTCGCATCTTATCTTCCTAAATTTTCCGCGAACTCCTTGAAAACTCGGCCCGGTCGCCCGGACCGACGCGAAAAGCCCCGGTCGTGTCGGCCCGCGCCTGTGCCTCTCGATATGTCAGAGGTCGATCTGCGTCGTAGAACGAACGGAATGCGTGTGAAAGCGATTCCGAGAAATCCTGGCTAATCGATTCCTAGTGAACCATTACGGATCATAACGAGCGGATTCATTTTTTTTTCCCCGAGGCGGTGAGACATTCCGCCGGTAATTGCTCGAGTGCCCTTTCGTGTCGGTAGTACAAAAAGTACTAGAAGTACTACCGGCCGGACGCGACAATCATGTCGCCGTGCAAGAAAATCTGCTAATTGCGTCGCCCGATTGCCCGATTGCCCAATTGATGAGTGAAGAAATACCTGAGTTCTTTTTTTGCCAGCTGGAATCTTGCCTCTCGTGTCTCGAAAGCTGGAATTTAAAATCAACTTCCATCGACACTTTCTCGGTTCTTCCGCGATGAACCGAGAGAATCTGTGACAAAATCCGTTGCAAATTTAGTTTTCCATTTTTTTTTTTTAAAGTCCGCCTTGCACGTTTTGAGGCAGCAGAAACTGAAAAGACGGAAGCCGGGAGAGTGATGTGGCGCCATCTGGCCTCAGCAGATGAAACGAGGGGAATCCCCCCCCCCCGCCCCTCATGCCCCCCCACCTCGTTCTTCTGCTTCTCTCGTGGCAGCACACTATTTTCAGACCCTCATAATCCCCTCGTGGGCTTCCCTAAATATGAAAATTCGCCGATGTTCTCACGCGAGGTACGCTTTAACCCATTTCCTATGCATCTTCCCGTGCCCACAGCAAAGAAGCACCGGGAAGAGACGACGGGAGGCGACATTATCAGGTGTATCGGAGAAAGTGGAGAGCGAGTCCTCGACCTTGTCCTCCAGGCGGAAGCAACAGGGGGGGGGATGGAAGGGGGGGTGGAAGGGGGGGGGGGGGGGGGGGTTGTTTTGAAGGGGAATGTTCCTCGCGGGTGCCTCTCTCCCTTCAGTCATTCACCTCCCGGTCTCTGCGATCGTCGTAAGGGTGCTCTTCCCTCCCCCGCAAGATGAGGTGAGTAAGGGTCGCGACTTCTTGTCGCCTTCTCTCTTTCTTGCCGCCTACTTGTCGTGTTCTTGTCGCTCTCGTCACTCGTGCCTATATTTTTTTCTAGCGATTTTTTTGTTGTTGTTGATGGATTTGATCTTTGCCGACGCAGACATTTTTTCTCCAGGTTTTTCCTTAATTTTTTTTTTTCAAGGTCTCCTGTCCCTTTTTTTTGCGCGAATTTTGCAGTGGCAATTAAACACAACCGAGGCCAGGGACATTTTTTGGCACGTGCCAACACCCGAAAGAATCCCCGAAATTCGACAACCGACGCACGAATTTATCGCCACCCGCGTCCTATTTTAAGCGAAGATTTTCGGCGACAAGAATCCTTTGCATTCGGTCCGTTTTTGCGGAGGTGAAAATTTCGCGTTCGAAACAGAATCTTCCAGAAAATTTTTTAATTATTTATTAATATGACGTCAGCGTCCCATAATTTTTTATCGGGTATAAAAAAATGGGGGCCCGGGGTGGCCAAAAGTGCTCTAAAACGCCACTTCCTCTAAAACATTAAGAATGATACTGAATGATCAGTAATGATTACGTATTAATAATTAAGTACTTGGTAAATTAAGCGAAAATCTGCAGAAACTTATACGCGGAAAAATTAATGTGGAATGGCAATTTTCACAAGCATAATTAATTTTCAAGTAGCGAGGAATCAATTACGAACATTTTGCATTGTTAAAAAAAAAAACTTCCAGAGACACAAAAATATTTATATTTAAATTCAAGCCTGAAAATTCGCAATGCAATAAATAAATATGCAGACATCGCACAAATCTGCGAAAACAATCATTTCGTCATTTGTATAAATGAGGTTTTTTTTTTCAAATCACGCGCACAAATATATTTTATTAAATATTTTAAAAGTTGTTCAGTCAATTTTTCTGCTAATCGATTGACATCCAAAATAACTTTAATGATGCGTCATTCCGCTTAACACGGCTTAGGGATGTTTTATTTTTGAGGTTTACCAGCATACCAAGGGGTTCGAATTAAAATATGCGCATAGTGTCGATTCCGTTGGTGTGAATATTGCCACTATAGACAATATTCAACATATACAGGGTCGTGCAAAAGTTCCCGTACACTTTGAAAATATAATTTTTCACTAATCAACGGATTTTTGGCGATTCGGATGTGTTTTTTTTGTTTAATTATACAAGCATTTTTTATGTGACATGTTTTCATTATAGTAAATTTCAGTCTTAATTTGAATTTTTTCCTCTGGAGTTATGACGCCTAAAGAGAATCGAAGCGCTAATCGAAGTGTACGGGAACTTTTGCACAACCCTGTATATTTTTCATTAATTCAACTAATTGCGTGTTTTGTTGCATAACTGACCTAAGCACTTCCTCTTGGGCATTTTATGCCACAAAATTGTACATTTTAAAGAAATTTTGAAATGAAGGTCAGAAACCCTTCAATGGCACGCGTCCCAAATTTCATAGCAAATCAAATATTATAAAGGATAAATTAGAAAAAGTTTCCATGGAAATTGGCAGCGCAAAGAAGGCCAATTTTATTTTTCTCTTTTTACAGAGTAGTGCTTTTGTGATATATTTATATATATTTATATATGTACAGGTTCTTGGTGGTGATGATATTGCTGTTCGGGAGTGCCCGATCCGTTGTGAACATCCGGAAAGGATTCCAGTTCCGGTCGCCCCCGCTTTCGTTCGGCTACGTCCTGGATTTCCCGCCGCGGTTCAGCCGACGGCTCCAAACGTAATTATTTTTTATCACTCGTTTAAATAATTTTTTAAATATATGTTTTTTTATTTATTTAATTGGTGGGGTGTTTTAGGACTGCGTATCCGCCGTTCTCGCACAGGAGCCAGCCGGACCAGGGCCGGACGTTCCTCGAGCCCCCCGGATATCTGTATCCCGCCGAGAAGCAGTGGAGTCTCTTCGCCAAGTTTCGGCCGAAAAATATTTTTTCTTCCTTCTTGAACAAGTTCAGAGCGAGCCCGGACGTTCCGCCCGCTTTCTACGGGCCCCCGCCGTCTAACGGTTACGGTCTACCTCCGTCCGGCAACTACGGGCTTCCGTCCGGCAACTATGGACCTCCCCCGTCTGGCACCTACGGACCTCCTTCAGGTAACTACGGTCCTCCACCGTCCGGAAACTACGGACCTCCTTCCGCCAGCTTCAGACCCCTTTCGGGCAACTATGGACCTCCCGGCAACTACGGACCTCCCCGGTCCAACAGCTTGAGACCCATCGGCTTCCACGGCCCCTCATTCGGCCCCCCCTCCATCTTTCCCCTTCGCCCCCCGTCTCAAGGCTACGGCCCTCCCAACGTGTTCACGCCGCTCGACCCACCCGACCTCGGACCGGACGACGAAGATTGCTTCACTCCGACGCCATCCGACGCATCCGACATCCGGGATTCCTACAACCCTCCGGATACTTTTAACCCGTCTGGAGGAGGGTACAAATACGGTCCTTCCTCGACGACGACGGAAGAGACTGGACAAACCGGAACCACCCCGCCCCCGAAAACGACGACGCCCGGAGATGCGACGACGAGCCGCGCGGCAGCGACAACGGGCCTCGCGACAGCGACGACAGCGACGACGGGTCGCGCGACGGCGGCGACGGCGAAGACGGGAGACACCACCACGACGGCGGGATTCACGACGACCACCACCGGATACACGACGGAAGCGGCCGGACCGAATCCGGGAAGGGGATCGGAGAACGACATTCCCGCCGCCGACGCCTCGGACGCCGACATCGCCGACATATCGGACGCCCTGGTCCAATCGCGGCGACGACCCACCAGCCGCGTCTCGCGGGACGGAAGGCCCCGATTCCCTTCCTGACGGAATTCCCTTTCGCCTCTCCGACCTTCCTCGTGACTCTCCCCCATGGCGGGACACCGGAAGGCGGGATACCGGCCCCGACTCCGGCGAATCTCAGGGATCGTTCTTCCCCTCTCGTTTCTCTCCTCTCCCCCCCTTCCCTCCCTCCCCTCCCCTCCCCCCTCTCGCCTTTCTCATTGTGATAGAAGGAGGAGTGCGGCCAAAGACTTCCTTCTGCTCTTTTCATGATCCGAATAAACGCACTTGCTCCATCCGAAATCCTTCATTCCGGTCCCCCCCCCCCCCCCCCCCCCCTCCTCCTCCAAGTTCGAGCCGACGAATGCCCAAGTGAGGGCATCTGAATTGCAGATGCCATGACTCCATCCCTGGATGAAGCCATGACTCCATCCCTGGATGAAGCCATGACTCCATCCCTCCCGTCCCGGTTAATCCGGAAACCCGGCGACCTAATAAACGTAGAAACGGTCTCATAGCGTCTCGTTGCGTCACCCCCGCTCGCGATTGCGACAGGGACCCATGCGGGTCCCATCGACGGCGTCCCCCTCGATGGCATCCCTCTCGATGACGTCCCTCTCGATCTCAGGCGATGGGGCGGAGGGGTGCGTTGCGGCTGTTGCTCTGCCTCGTGTCGGTCGGGGTGTTCGGGGTCGCCAGGCCGGCCGTCGTCACCAATTGGGTGTGGCGAGGCGACAGGAAGCTCTATCCAGGTATTTTTTTCTTTTTTTTTTATTCTTCGGTGTTTATTTATTCATTAAATTCGTTTATTTATGAAACCAGGGGAAGGGAGTTACGTGGACGCATACGGATCCCTTCAATCCTACAACCAAGCGATCGACGGAGCCGGCTACTACAAGCCGACCCAGTCGACCCACACGACCTTCGTCACCTCGAGCATCACCACCCAGCACAAGGGCTTCGGTCCGACCTACGGCGTCGCCCAGACCGGATTCGTGCCGACCCCCGTCGTGCAGACCGGCTACAAACCGACCGGCTACAACCAAGTGTACATGAGCCAGACGATAGTGAACCCTCCTTATGGGATCCAAGCCTCCCACACCCCCACCTATGGTGTCCAAGCCTCCCACACCCCTACCTACGGTGTCCAGGCCGCCCACACCCCCACCTACGCCACCCAGACGGTGTACAACCCGACCTACGCGTCTCACCCGGTATATACCGGCCAGACGTACATCCCCCAGTCGAGCTACAGCCAAACGTACGTCCCCCAAACCAGCTACAGCCAAACGTACGTCCCCCAGACGAGCTACAACCCCACGTACGTCCCCCAAACGAGCTACAACCCCACGTACGTCCCCCAGGCGAGCTACACCCCCACCCACACCACCCAGACGGGATACACCCCCACGTACGTCGTCCAGATGGGATACAACCCGACGTCCGTCCCCCAGACGAGCTACGCCCCGACCTACACCACGGCCCACTACCCCCCTTATTCGACCCAGACGGTCCCGGTCCCCGTCCCTGCCCCCGCCGCAGCCCCCTCGTACGCCGCCCCAGTGGGCTACAACCCGACGCAACTCTACGGCCAGACCCAATACGGCGGCACCCACCCGAGTCCCTCCCTCGCCGTCCACCACCACCTCCACCACCATCATCACAGCTACGATCACGAGTCCGTCCCTTCCGTCCCTCCTCTCGGACCCCATCCTCCTCTCGGCCCTCGTCCCCCTCCCCTCGGACCCCATCCTCCTCCCCTCGGTCCTCTTCCTCCTCTCGGTCCTCACCTCCCTCCCCTCGGACTGAGAACCACCACCACCGAGGACGAGTCCAGCTCGGAAAAATTCAGTCGAAAGGGAAGGTGATCCACCTTTCCACCCGATCTCAACTGCATTGCCCCCTCTCTCCCTCCCCCTCCCCCTCACTCCCCCCCCCCTCCCATTTTCTTTCTATTTATCATCGTATGTTCAATCTGTGCAATTCATTTACGCAAAAGAGAATATATGTATACCGTTTCCACGACGACGATTTCCTCGTTTCGCAAGCGCAGAACCCGCATCGAACGACACGAACCGGGTCGGCAATCCCTCCGAACCGCCTTCCGGCCAAAAAAACCGCTTTCGACTCACCGATGGTGGTGATGACGATGATGGAATAGAAGAGCGCCCCCGCGAAAGTCCACTGCACGTCATCCAAGTCGTCGTTCCCGTCCCAGCCTTCCTTCCGCATCGCGTTCACCAAATCGATCTACGAGACAAGCGAGAATCGTCGAGAACCGCCTTCCGACCGCCCTCGGGACCTCGAACCGACCCCCGACCTCGAAGTCGCGAAGCAGCTTCGTCGCGTTCCCGATCCAGCTGTCCTCGTGCAGCACCGGCATCGTCTCCGTGATGTTCCAGAGATCGTCCGTGACCCTCGACCTCGTGTGCCACATTTCCTTCTTCTTCTTCATCTCGTAGTCCTTCTCCAGCGCCTCGAAGGTGAAGGCCCCCATGATGCAGTAGCCGACCACGAGCGACACCAACCCGATGTGCGACACGAGGAACGTCGTGATCTTCCGCACGTAATGCAGGCATCTTCCGCACCCTCGGGAGTCCATGGTCCCCGAGAACTGACTTCCCTCCGAGAGTGGTCGAGTGAAGAGGTGCGAGGGGGAGCCTCGTCGAGTCCCCCAAAATACCTTTCTGGCTTTGTTCCCATTCGGGAGTCGACTTCTCTCACACACACGGTCCGTCCGCTCATACAAACATTCTCACCCGGAGAAAAAAGTTATATTTTCGGAGAAGGAGCCAAGAGAACGTCATCCCCGCCCGGTGACGTCACCGCATCTGATCGCGACTTACGGCCAACTCGATCGTGAATCCTCGAATGCGCAAAGAATCTCCAACCGACGCCACAACCCTCCTAAATAATCACGAGACGCGCTTAAACGGATTTCCGACGCTCTTAAGGGTCGTTCCCGGGAAGAACGAGGATAATTTGAATTCGTCGGTGCGGCACAACCTTGAGGCTCGCATTCGAGGAAGGCGACGGAATCGAAGGTGCCCAGCGAGTTAGCAGGCAGCACAGCAATTCATTCGTGCATCAGCTGATTACCGAACGGTGCTAACAACGGCAGCAAAGCAAGTTTTCCTTCCAAATTTAGTCAGTCTCAAGCCCACCCGGCCGCTCCTCCGCATTCCTCTTCCATTGAGCTTTGCGCAAACTTTGTGGTGAGTTATGGCAAGGCTTGCCACGAGCACACATGAGCCTAGGCCTAACGTTAGGCCGAACGCGAGGCTTCGTATACCGTACGTTGCCTAACCGTCATCGGCATAACGATAACCTACAGCGAATTCGTACGTTTCGCCTTGTAGGCTTGCATGATCGTGGCCTAGATCAATTGTTCGGCCAATAGCAGACCCTCGTATGTGAATGAATTGTCTTACCACCATACCAGGCCTAACGTTAAGCCTACTCCCGTGCGAAGGGTACACCTATGATATTTATCGACAAGGATCAAATGAGCTATGGCTAATGTTAGGCCTCTCTGACTGCATATATCCCTCATTTCCTTTTGTATCCTACAGTTTTCTTTATTAATCAGGAGAAATTGTATTGATGCTGTTATGTGCGTCATTGCGAGCCCTGCGCTGCGATCCCTGTTAAGAGCTTCCACTGCGTCACCGACGCATATTTTGTGGGGCTGCCTGGTGCCAAGTACCAGTAGGCCTTGGTAGCGTAGGTCTGAATGGTTTGTTACGTCACTATCACCTTTTCCCTGTTGCATATGTTAGGCCTAAAAGTTCCTACCAATGTGCTGTTACGCTGATAGTTTTCATTGGCGCTTTTCAGTCCATCAAAATTTCTTCCCATCTTGCCTCTTGTCATTTTGTTCCTTTAATTTTACCAATAAGGAGTTGCCCACTGGTAGGCCTAGCCAGAAAACCCTGTTCAATCCTTCATTCTAGCTACAAAGAAAGTGGTGAATTGCAAGTCATGAATGGTTTTCAGCCTGGTTAATGATTTTCAACCAGGCAGAATTTGAGCTGTAGTCAATCCATGTGACTTGATTAATTGGGAGGAGGGTTGGTATGGTGGACCACACTTATGGTTTATTATGCTACCATTTTGGCTTACCAGAAAGCCTTGATACATGATGTTAATCATGTTTTGGCATTATTTTCTTGCCAATCCCTAATTATTGAAGGATTTAAAATTACCATATCCTCCACTTAACATTATCATATTGGCTCAAACCAATTATGGACTGTTATGAAAGTCAAACCATAAACATATGGTGATGGTGTTAATGTGGAGATTATGTGCTAAACTTCCCTATGCTACATTGCATGTAGTTACAGTTATGCTTTTCAGTGAGGGATTTTTTAAAACCCTGGGGCTATATTTAGAGCAGATTGTGGTTAATTACAGGAACTTACTCTGAGGTTTTTCCATACTTGCTAGAGAAATGGGAACTGTGTTCTGAAGCCCCTGAGAAAAGCTTTAGAAAATGCTGTTCCCATGCAGGAACACAGGAACTCTCACATACACAAGAACACCTATTTACCTTCAAGTTTATTTGAAATTGAGCTAAATTTTATCTGGGAACCACCTGTTTGCATGGACTAGACCAGGTTGTTGACTCTTGTTGATGTAAGATGGGGGGCACCAATAATGTAGGGCTGAACGATTTGCATGCATTTATTCTTTCAAAGTCCCAGTTCTTGACAGTTTGAGCAAGTTCCTTGAATTCTTTGTTTGAAACTTAGAATAATACTCTTCCTTAATAATCCTGTATCTTGGTATGCCTACGAGTAATGAAACTATTTGACAACAAGTGAATGGTCTATAGCAGGTTTGGAGATTACTGTATTTTAGGAAACCATTTGTTTATTAGGTTAAATCCAGAATTTAGGTATCAACTAGGGTTAAGCAGAAAAAGCTTTCCCAAGTTGACTGAGATGATGGCTGCTGGCCACCAGCACTAGCAGAAAAGAGTGGAAGAGGTGCAGAAAATAAGATGCACCAATGACATTGAGCTGCTGCATTTCAGAAGTATTGATCTTTAAAACCATAAGAAGTTGAACTGCCCGGAGCTGCAGAAAGATGTGGCTACTTCAGGCTTGAGTTCCATGGTGACTTTTTCATGGAGCCTGTGTCACTCTTGGGAAAAGGCCAACGTTTAGCAATGCAGGTTACCCAGGGGAGCCATAAGGAGTATAAAATGTCACCTTGTGATAACTTCCTGGAATGGGTCTCGATGGGTTTGAAACTCTAAAAAAGTCATCTTCACATCCATGCCTTTTGCCATATTCTAATATTTGGATTTTCTCTACTTTTTTGCTTGTCCCTATAGGAAATAGTGTTGATCTGAGACTTGAATTTCCTTAAAATCCATGAAGTCACATTTTCCTTTGCATGCCCACATTTATTTATTATAATAAATAATTTGAGCTCAGATTTACTTGTTAGGTATTTTGCTTTGGCTTTATTAGGCTTTGACCAGCATCCAGTTCAGGAGCTCTCCTCTCACATAGTATTGCATATTTTAAGTTATTTTGCATGGATTTCTCAGTTCCAAGCCTGTTGGAATACTAATAGTGGTCCACTATATGTTGTAGTATCTAGGAAATGGTAAACATCCTGTACAACTGATAGTGTGTTTTTCAACTGCATGATTGGTATAAGTATGGTTTTCAAAAATTATTTGTACATTTTTTATTTTCAATTGCTTCAGGGGTAAATCACTCAAAGACTTTATGGTGTTAGTACAGCCTTGTAGCTTGATTAGGTCTTGGCAATACTTACGCTTCCTACTAAGGGACAGCAGCGTGAAATGGCAGGCAGTGTTCCTAATGAAGTTTTTTTTTAACGAATACTTCTATTAAATCAAATCAAAACAGAACTTGTGGAATCTTTCCATTCATATATATGCATCTGAAAGCAATCCCTCATGCCATAAACTTTTGAAGGACTCTGGAGTATCACTGGTGTGTCCCTAAAGGAGCATAGTGCTGCTTAACTCCAGGTTCAGAACTTGTAGTAGTATTTATGCTCATGTAGCATAAAATATTACCAAAGGTCCATGTAATAAAGTGTAAAATATTGCTGACTGCAATAAAGGCTTAGCCTATATCAAAGCACAGGGTGTCTGAGAATGGTTGTTTGTTTCAAGTCCAAATATCTTCACAATGAGCTAACAGAAGCATGGGGTATGTACTAAAATAAACGTTAGAGTTGCAGATTTTTCTCACATTGTACAATATCCTTAGTAGTTAGTTAGTTTCCAGCTGTGTTGCTCCAGAATCAATTATAATGGCTCTCATGCAAAAGAAGGCTAAATGCTTGATATGGTTGGCACAATTTCAATCTGTTACTCGAGTCCAGCGTGAATTTAGATGCATGTGTGATACAGAACTTCTTCACAAGGACTCCATTTGAATATGGAATAAGCAATTTCAAGAGAGTAAAAGTGTGGAACCAAAGGCACCCCCTGGCAGACCTTGCACGAAAGAGGAAACACATTCATGAGGCATTTTCCACCTAAATCCATGTAATTGTAGTAGTTTGTGAAGCATATTATGAATCATGGATTTAGGGAGTTGTAACTCAAGTGCAGCTTGCCAGATGAATTTGCAAAAGCTTCATGAAAGTGCCTGGTGAATGGATTTCCTCTTTCATGCAAGGCCTGTCTGGGGATGCTCTTGGTTCCATACTTTTAATCACTTGAAGTTGTTTGTACCTTCATCGAATGGAGTCCATATGAAGTTTTATATCATACATGCGACTAAATTCGCCCTTGATATGAATGAATGATTTAAATTGTGCTAACAATATCAAGCATTTAGCCTTTTGCTGCCTTATGCCATAATAGCTGCTTCTAGAGTGACAAACAGTGGGAACTGGTTTACAACGCTGCAAACCAGGGAACTAACGAACTACTAAGGATATTTTTCAGTGTATGTAAATTCACAACTCTAATCGTAATTTTAGTGCAAGTTGCATGCTACTATGTTTGCCCATTGTGGAAAATCTCTTTTTGAAACTGACATAATCATTCTTAGATGCCACATATCCCTGTATACTGGCATATATTAATGTGGCTGAGGAAAAAGAAGTTCTTTGTATTTTTTGTCAAGAACAACTAATGTATAAATGTAAAAAGTTTATAAGGGAAATTGTAAATATTTCTGTGGTTTGAGTTTATTATTGTAAAATCAGGTGAGTAGAAAGTATGGACAGTGATCTATGATCACGCAAAGCTTCCTCAGATTTTATTTGGTTTTATTGTATATAGGCCTACATCTCAGTAAGCCAAGCTCTTGTCACATGCCATGTATGTCCTGTAAGGCATTCCAGTCATAATCCTGCCTTTGTGACTCCATTAATTTTTCACTTACAGTTTACTAAATATTATGCATTTTTCCTGAGGCACTGTAGCTTAGAGGTAGTGTCCATGCAAATCCAGTGATTGTGGCAGAAAGAAAAAGCAACAAAGCAAAAAAAATTGATCTCCTCTTCCTGACTTTGAAACTGGCTGGTATGAATAATGTTGCATCTCTCTCTAAATCTCACTTGTTTTATTTTGCAGAGATAGAAAGTGTGAAGTAGTTACAGAAGAATAGAGGTTCCGTGCTGGTAGGCCCAAGTGCTGCATGCAAAAGGCTTGTGCCACTCTTTGGTCATCTGCAACCAGTACGTGACCCAATCCATCATGGCCGAAGGTCAATCTACTCTTCTACTCAGGAAACAACTCGCTGGTAAGACCTTGCATTTCCTCCTCTCGTGAGGTTGCAAAAATAACATTTCAATCTTATTTGGATCATTGACTTGGATTTGGCTACCTTTTCATGCAGATCTCAAGAAAAATCCTGTTGAAGGCTTCTCAGCTGGCCTAATTGATGATGATGATATCTACAAGTGGGAAGTTCTCATTATTGGCCCCCCTGATACACTCTAGTAAGTTCATAATGGCTTGAGGAGCTCATGTTGAGTAGAGTATGTATGATGTAGCAACTTCAGGTAGTAAAGCCTTCCAGAAATTTCCATTAAAAAAATTTCTATGTGTTAAAATGTTCAAAAATTATAATTTTGACCTCTTCTTTGTTTTGCTTTTCCTGTAAAGGATTAGGGACAGCTTTGGCTGTTCTCAGCGATGAAAACCCAGTTTCCATTAGACTTCATTTCAGTGTTCTTGAATTAGGCCTTTGTCCTCATCTGCTTTTATATTTTCATGCAGTGAGGGAGGGTTCTTCAAAGCTCATCTGTACTTCCCAAAGGACTACCCTCAGAAGCCACCAAAGATGAAATTCATATCGGATGTCTGGCACCCCAACAGTGAGGGCCTTTTTCTACTTTTCAAGTGTTTCTTCTTTTGTTCCTGGTTTTTTCATCTTCCCATGTGTTATGAATTTCAGTTGAGAAGAATGGTGATGTGTGTATCTCAATCCTCCATGAACCTGGGGATGACAAGTGGGGATATGAGAAAGCAAATGAACGCTGGCTTCCCATTCACACGGTGGAGACAATCCTCATATCCGTCATCTCCATGTTGGCTGACCCCAACGATGAGAGCCCTGCAAATGTCGATGCTGCGGTCAGTCCTCTCCTCATGATCAAAGAGGGAAACTTTCATGAATGAAGTGTTTCCCCCCCACTCTATTAGCTTGTAAAATGCACCATTGGCCCATTCTGATTAGTGATGTCTTCACATTGGTCAGATTCACACAAGACTTCTTTGATCAATATTGAAGGAGATGGCAAAGGTTTTTAAATATCTGCAAATAAGCATTGGTTAGGAGACAGAAGAAAGTAACATTTATATTCAATTATGTTGCTCTACTAGCCATTTTTCAAAATTTTTTGTACCCTAGCAAGCACTTACAAGTTAGAATGTAAAGTGGGTGCAATTAAATACTGTGGATAGGTGGTTTATAAAAATATTGAGAACCTCATTACAGTTCTGTTGTCAGAGTAACTGCTCTGACATACATACTGGATGTGAACAATGCTCTTGCAATTATAGCTTATTCAGGCATTGAAGTTATTACTCCATAAGTATGTTTTCACAAGTTTTATCTATGTATGTTGTTTCTTGTAAGCAGGAAAGTAAACTACATTCATACAGTCTTTATTCCTCATATCAGAGCTGCCCTTCCAGAGGTACAATATGATCAACTAACATTTATGAAGCCAATTCCAATGAGGTAATGAAATCTGCAGTATTTATTCCAACTATCTTTGGAACTGAAATGTCAATTCCAAGGCATAAAAATTCCAGTTTCAATGATTAAGTGAATGATTAAAATTTGATTTTTATTTATTGGTTGCTTTGTTGTGAAGTTCATAAAGATCTTACCCATTTAAGAGCAAACCAAGGGCACCATGGTACATTTTGTGAGATAAAGGCCTGAATGGTGAAACCTTCTTTAGTTATTGGTCCTTCAAGAATACATGGACTCCTAGGGGGAGAGAAGAACTCTTTAGTGTAAATACCCTTTTATTTCCTCTAAATGAGGTTTGTGCATTCTGGCATAACACTGTCTCATTCACTTTCTGCTTCATTAATCAAGGAAAGAGTTTCATCCATGGTACTGGACATTGTAGAATGGTGTGGTTTCTCTCATAGAAAGAGATGATTCCTTTTTGAAGTTAGGCAGGGGATGTTCTTTCCACATATGAAGTATCATACCATGGATTCCTCACATCTTTGCATGTAGATGGCAAGATCCTTCAATTTGGCAGGCTGCCATGAGAGGCACTTTAGAGCAATCTCACGGGTGAAAGGCAACAATTCCTCTTCAGCTAATGCCTAGTAAAAAACAAAAGCATTCCCTTTTTTTCAATTTCCTTTTCATGAAGTACAGATTTTGAGAGCTCCTAGCTTTGAAAGTTTCAATAAGATCATCCTTCATATTTTATTCCTTGGCAACCATGCAAAAATTGCCTTCATATTTGCAAAAAGAGGGTATTTCTCTGTGGGAATCTCGGTAATAGTATAGTACATGTCCACTTAGAAGTTACTGTAAGGTTTGGCATGACCATCTCTCAGGGGCATGCAAAGGATTTCAGGTAGAGAAGGCTCAATATTAAGATAACAGAAGTATGCAAGAGGGGGGTGGGTGTGGTTGCAACGAGGCTGATCAGCTGAGGGCATCGTCAGGTGCGAAGCCCCTGACAGTGCCTTCAGCCCACCCTCTCCGATGATCCTGGATGGTGGAATCATTGATTAGAACCATTGTTCCTGGCCCTCTCATCAGTTGTGCTGCCTTGAAAACAGCAACCAGCAATTCCTGCGAATAGTAGAATCAGTTGGACGCTGTCACATTTGCACTGAGCAGGCTTCCAATGTCTTGTTCATGCATTTTATGTGGAGTTCCTAATTCCTTTTGCTCTTTGACACAATAAATGTGGGTCTGTCTTGACCGTGTGGATGTGTAGTATATTGATGGCAGGGGCTTACCCAAGGGCACCTGACAACACCCTCAGCTGGTCAGCTGCATTTGAATCACTCCCCCCCCTCTTGTAATTCAGCTGTCTTGATATTGTGCTTTCTCTTCCTATATTCCTGCATTTCCCCCCGAGATATGTTCATGTCAAAGTTGACAGGAATCCTTAAGTGGACACGTACTATAATATTACTGGAATCTCCGTGCAGACCTTCATAATAGCTCTTTTTGTGACTAGGTTTATAGGTTTATCCATATTTGGTCTTTCTTTTTTTTCAAGATGGCATTATTAATTATTTAGACTATAGGTGCTTCTTTTACTGGAATCTGCTTTATTCAGCTTTAGGCATTGTACAGAACAAATGTAACATCTTGAAGGCACCTCCATTTTGGAATGAACTCATCATTATGCTTGTCGTTTTACCAGCCCATGTGAAAATTTCATGTTTGACCATATATGAAATGGTCATATATTTAGCCAGTCCAACATATATGGGGCATACATGACCATATAGTGCAACTCATATATGAACATATAAGAAACATATTTGGGGTTTGACACAATTCATATAAAATCATATAAGAATGAAAATATACCCCATACTCTTTCATCTATTGGCTCATAAAATTCACCATATAATGTCCATATAAGCTATGTATAGTGAGATTACCCCAAACATGTCTGTATCCAAAAAGGTCCATAATCCATCAAATACTGTATAATCATTCATATGCAAGTCACTGTACTTTACTTGCGCACAACTTATTTTTAATTGTTCGTAGACCATAGTCAATTACTTCAAGAACATGAAACTCATGTTTCATGGTGTTTATCATATGCACCCTAGTTAATGAAGGTGAACATTTCAATATTATAGACTTGAACTGTCACAAGTATTTTCATCAGTAATGCTATTTCATGACAAAACTTGGCTTTCTCATGTAGGAGTGTCTTCCTCATTTTTACCGACAACACACAAGATAGATGGGAACAAAAACTGTGTTTCTTTCTGAAATAATCTAATGAAGGAATTGTTGAATAAAGGCATGGCACACCTTCTCTGGAACACTTAACAAAAGTGTCCCAGACTTCTCTTGCCCCACCCACACTTTTTTCATCTGCGATATGCTTATGCTACCTAGGGAGGGTAGGGCTCAGTTTGAAATCCCAAATGTATGTACAGGTTGCTTTACAGCTGGAAATTTATAGTTAGAATTTTATACAGAGGACCCTCCAGTTGGAATACAGCTGAAGTTACAGTTTAAATTTAGCTGCTTCTGTAGATGGACCTCCAGCAAGAATAGCCAACAAAGACATTCTCATTCTACCAGTGTATTGCAATTAGGAACAATCTGGATCTGACTTTACTTTCCAGCTGCTACCCAATTGGAATGGGTCTGATATTACAACTGGAGTCTAGCTGGAAATTATAGCTGTTTCCAACTAGGATTCAAAGCTGGGGGTTCAAAATAAAACTTTTTGCAAATTATTTTGAAGGCTATACGTAGCTAATATTTCATGTAAAATATCATGAGTGCATTAAAAATTAGTTGCAGAGGCATATGCAGGTCAATTGCCCTCATATGTAACAACCTCATGCAGTGGCATATTTTACCAGTAGGGGGCAGGGGGGTGTGGCTGCCCCCCTGGCATCCCTGGGACAGGGCTTGGTGCCCCCACTCTGCTGCCCTGCCCCCCCTGACTCTTCAGCCAAAATACACCACTTACCTCATGCTATGTTATACTTACAACCATAAAACTTATCTATGGATATTCACCACATATCAGGCATGATGCCATTTGCCCATTGCGATGCAGGTAAAATATATTATACACCATACAATTGTTAATATATGAATATATGTTAATATATGGTGGTATATGGTAAACATATGACCAAACATGATCATATAGAATCACGCACCCTGTCATATATGGAATTTCCATGTAGACACTGTTTTCACCATAGGTTTGATCTCAAAGTTGTTCATATTTGTACAGATAATTGAGTCTTGTGCCACAAATACCTTTCTGAATGCATAATTGCAACAGAAAAATATGTGATTTAGAGTCTTATGGACTCACTTTGTCTGGATGATGGTTAAATTGAAGTGCTTACTTTGGTTGGAAATACAGGGTGTCTCAAAAAAATGTATACACACTTTAATTTAAAAAATATATGTTAAGTAATTCAGAGAGGTACAATGTTCAGTGTGTGGAGAAGCAAGGGTTTGAATTGCATGGTTCACTACCACAGATGTTCAAATTGTTCACTGTTAGCATCCAGGCACTGTTGACAGTTGACGGTTGGTGAGGTCTATCAGAACATTGTTTGCGCATTACCGTACTAGCAATGCTCTGGGAGACCATGCTCTGTACCATCAGCATCAAACTTATCATGAATCCTTGAAAGTTCTAGTACATCATGGTGGCATAGTTGCAAGTTCATTTCTCTACCTTCTTTGCACTTCACATGTGTTCTCAGATTTCCAGAATCACTTAAAAATCCACTTACATTGCTCTAAGGTCAAGTGAGCTTGTGTCATCTTGCGTGACACACTGTCTGGTGGGAAAAAATTGCCTGATGGCACGCAATCATTCCATTACACATTGTCATCTGTTAGGTACTGTACATGTCACATTAAACATCGTCCCTCTCTGAATTATTTAATATATACTCTTGATTCAAGTGTGTATATATTTTTTGAGACACCTTGTATATGCCATTATGCATGAAATGGTCGCTCGTTCTATTGAAGGGATAGAAAGTTTTATCAAGATTGGTTCCTTGCATCCATATGCAATGAGCCAAGACAATGCCCTAGCATACTGCATCTTTCCGTGTGTATTTCCTTTTTCCTTTGGTTTTTTTTTGACATTTCATGGAGGAGGAAACAGAGGCTGAATATAGGGCAATGTTGGAACAATTTATTTCCTTAGTGAAGCCCAAGCTTTAACACTGCTGCTTGAGATGCACATGTGCAGGAGCAAGCAACTGTAATGATGTCATACTATGATGCCATTTCTGCCATACTGTAACATAAAGGGTGGTTGAAAGTAATTGATGATTTGAAGTATGATTAGCAAACTAAAAGGTTTTTCAGCAGCATTCACTGATTTGTGTTGAATTTCATTTTTGTATTCTGATGCTGTTTGTCCTGAATGACCTAACTTGGCTGCCTTCATTTCTCGTGTTTTTCACAAAGTTTGACATTTCAATGGTTACGGAAAGTCTATATATTGTTTGCAATTCAAGTGCATACTTTTTTTTTATGTCTGGTTTTTGCCAATGTTTCTGATTGGAGTTTCCATTCCATCTCTGCAGAAAGAGTGGCGAGAAAACTACATCGAGTTCAAGAGGAAAGTGGCCCGATGTGTGAGAAGAAGCCAAGAAGAAATGTGACAAAGTCATTTTAGGGTCTGTTGAAATCTTATTTCCCTCTTGTGTCTATATTGACCATCTTCGCCCATTTGAAATGTATGTTTGTCCTGGCAGGTTTTCAAATGGAGTCATGAACGAGTGGCATGGATTTTTGTATTCAGAGTGAGTGGTTGACGTGTGGATCGTCCTTGAGTGCACCTGGGAAGTTTGGAGAAGAGCAGTCTGCCGCTGGTGATGATGCTTGAAGCCTGTGATGTTTCTTCCTCTTATATTTTCTTGTCTTTCCCTCTCTTAGCCCTCACTGATGAAATCGTGTCGGTGTCGGCCGAACACACGGAGGCAGGGAAAAATTTTTTTGTCATTTTTTTTTCAAGATCTGGCTGAATGAGTAACAGCGATTGGGGGGTGGGGAGGTGCCTTTTGTGCCGTGTGCCTTCCCCTTTCTCACCTCCCTCTCTCCAACTCTTCCATGCTTTTTTGGTTCTTTTTTTTCTTTAGTTCTGCTCTTGTGTATCTCTCAGTGCACAGAGGGTAAAGATCAACCAGGAAAGGGGGACCCTTGAACGTGGACATAGATATCGTGTGCCTCCCTTGTGGTCTCGTCTGCTCGGAAGGCTCTGTCTCCCATTACTGAATAAAACGAGAAATTTTGCTCTTTGATTCTGCCGCATTCGTTCCGTGCCATACCTGCAGTCTTCACTTATTGAACAAAGTAACATGCATCTAAAGTTTAGGCAGGGTTTTCAAACCTTTCAGTATACCCCATCATTGAATGTGGATGATTCATATGGAGTTATGTCCGTCCTCTTATACCCTGCTTGAGACTGAAAGGGAGAATGCCATCACGGCTTTCCTTTAACCATATCAGGAGACGTCCCGATACATCCCGCTTCCTTTTATATGAATGGCTCTGGCCGTGCGGATGCGGCCAACTTGTAGCTGCACGTTTTATGTGGCCTATCCTCTTGCTTTGAGCTGCCATCCACGGTCCTTGGCCCTAACTACATGAAAACGAAGGAAATAACTGGCAACCACCCTACTGTAAATATCAAACATGGCGAATAATACAGAACACAAGTCGACTCGACACGGGAAAGCCAACTGTGAACAACTCTGTGAGGCTCACAGAGACACATTTATCACATCCTGCCCCACAGATAGCATCGAAAGGAAATGCAATGTTCGTAAGCCCTCAGCACACCGTCCAGGCCAGAGAAAGGACAGTGGCTCATAGTTTGGAATGCAATGTACCACTGCGTCGAACTTTGCTTTAGGGCAGTGGTACCCGTGGCCCGCGAGGCCTTACAATAAATACCCTCAGGCTTCCTTAAAATAGTCTCCTACGAGGGTAGTGATTGCATATGAATGAGGGCGTGAGCCGTGTGACCCCCGATTCGAAGAGGTAGAGCACCATTGTTTCGCAATGAAGCATTCCGAAGTTCTGGAAACGTAGGCAGAAACGTCGATGAGACTTAGAGCATGCAATTTCGTTCTGCCTATTCGTTGCTTTCCGCACACCTCCGGAAAAGAAAATTCCTGAAAGGATTAAGGTGAGGACAGATAATCCAGGACGGATATTCGTATTTAAATTCAGCATTCCGCTCAATCACGTTCTCGCGAGAGAAAAAATTGTCATTTCCTTTACTGAATTTTGAGCGCTTAGAGTGTGGAAAAGACATTTTCCCTGGGAAGAGGTCAAAATCCGAAAGCGCCAAATCTGGGCTGCAGGAATGGGTGGCTCAGCGTGCTCCAGCCGAGACGCACTGGCTCTGCCATGGTTGCTGCTGCGGTGTGGGGCCTTGCGTCGTCCTGCTGGCGCACGATCCCCCCGCTTTTCATCCCCGAACGGCGTCGACGCAGGCGATGGTGGACATCCCAGAGACGAAGAGACGCTTGGGTGGCAGGCGATTCGACTCTCGCGAGGAGCTCGTCGAGGAAACGAAGACAGTGCTGAACGGGATCGGCAAGGATTGGTTCAGGGCATCGATCCGCAAGTTGTCGCGTCTGCTATTTCTGGTGCATGTGTTCCTCTCACTTCCTGTATTTTGTTAATCACGAGAGAGAGCAACATGCACTTCTGAGTGTGCATTGCGTATTTGTTATGCATTAAAGGAAACCGGAATAGATTTTCGTGGCCAACATATTAAGAAAATTATAGCCAGAGTCTCGATACTTTTGGTACGCCCTTCGTATTACTATCTGCTTCCATTATCAGCCAAATCCCCAAGCCAATATCTGCTCCGTTCATTGAAACGGTATTTTTCTTCCACATTTTTTCGACGGAGAGAGCAAGTTAGTGACATTTTGTTGACTGGACTGCAACCTCGGTCTCATTCCCGTAAAATAGAGTCTTGCAGGAACTCCAAGTCGAACTCAAAGTCGGGGGATTACTCTGTCCTCGAGTTCATAACGCTTATTCCATTGGGCCTGTTAGCACATCGTATCGTATCTTTACGAACGCCCGTCCGGGGAAAAGTAGACACAATGAATCATCGAGCTCGAGCGATGGCTGCCACTCTCTCAGGTGTCTTTCAGATATCATGATTAGTCAGCAGTTCCCTGGAATGCAGTCTTTCTTCTGAAACACACGCCTGTGCATTGCATATCGGAAACAATATCCAAGGACTTTCTGAGTCAGAAAATTGTTTTAAACATTCAGTCCTATACCATGGACTTTCTCTTCAGCCTGAAAATCCGGGATCACAAGCTTTTGGCTTCCGTGAAAGGGGGTCGTGGACAAAAAAAGTTTGAGAACCGCTGGCGTAGACGCAATCACTCACAGACCTCTTGTGGTAGCGTCAGATTTCTATTTGACGACGAAATCCCACTAATCCAATTCTCACGGGGATGGTGATGAAAAAAAATCACAAAGTATGGGAATTGCAAGCGAAGATTTGCATCGGAGCGCATAGAAATGGTTGGATCATCGTTCTTGCCAGAAACGTTCCTTTGTTCCATTTCGAGCTGTTCCTGGCCAAGTGGAACAGGGCCCCTAAGAGGGATATTTAATAGCAATAGGAAGTAATTTTCCTATAGTAAATTTCCTTCATGAAAGTCGTCGCGAAGCCTTAGTAACTCCGCAGGACAATCGCATCGGATCGTCCTCATCTCATCTCATCTCATCTCCATTTCACCATCCGACGAAGAGGCATTTCTTTAAAATGATGAAGGCGCCATCTCATTTTTGCGATTGAAACCTTGTTTCCTGGAGTAAATGCCATACTGCCGTCCCGCTTCTCCATCATTTCATTCCGCTGCTTTTCATTCCCTGCTGCGACCGGAAGGATCCCATGGACATGCCTCCCATCCCTCCCCCATGCGTCGATCCTCCATCATTCCCCATCCTCCTTTCTTCTTTCGGTTTTCGCTCGGGTCGGAGCACGACCGATCGGAAAGCGTATGGTATCGTGCAGCGATACGTGGGAATAATCCGCTGGTTTCAGAGAGTTCTTGGGTGATGCATCTCCGATGATGTCAAGAAGAAATTTAATTTCACTAATTCGTGCCGAAGGCGCAACGCAGCGAAAACCTGATTGGATGAGACTTTCTTTTCGATAGTACTTCGGCTGACTCGGCCGAACCAGTGCTGTTCCGCATGGATTCTTTGAGCTCTTGAAGAAATTAGTGACATTTTGTTGCCTGGACTTCAACCTTTGTCCGATTCTGCGGAGCGACTCGTTGCTATTGGAAAGTGCGGCCTCGAGGTAAGTGTTCGCCAAAGAAGACCTTACTCGTGACCCTACGGGAAATACACGACTCCTATTTCATTTCCAACCTAATTTCTACTGGTCAAGCTTAAAGTACCCTTCCGAGAATAAACGTCAGTATGGAATCCACGTCTAGAAGTCAAATAAGGAGGATTACCCTGTCCTTTGGTTAGGAGCATTGATAAGGTTTCTTCCCCTACGCCTGCTAGCACATCGTTAACACATTGACGACAATGCACGTTTTTCGTTTTTTCGCGCATGGGACAGACCCAGACAGAACAGTGATTGTTTCACCAAACATCATAAAAGGTGTTCAAAATTGTTTGTTTTTTGAAGAATGACAAATAAATATTGAAACCAGATTTAGCTTGCCCACGATGTTTACA